GCACGCCTAAATGGAGCATGAGAACAGAACAGACCGGGCGGGCATACAAACGTAACGCCAGGTTCTAACACTCCGTCTGTGGTGCGTATTTTTTCCGTGCCCATGTTAATGGATCAGAGCGTTCACACTGCACGCGATTGCGGTCCGGCAGTGCGCTCCAGGAGTGGTGCGTCTGCAGCAGTCATGCTGCGATCGTTTCCGCACGGAGTCTATTTCTGCTGTGCTGCACGCGCTGAATTAAAGTGACAGCGCATTATTCGCGGTAAAAATGAACATGGATTGACATGGAAATTTAGTAATTACACCATAAATGCATATAATTAAAGTCTACTGTTTTACAGTCAGCACATGGCTTTTTGGCTAGATTTAAAACAAGGAAAAGTGCACTTTTAGATAAACAAGGCAATAATAGAAGGCACTCGTAGTGGTTTATTTTTTTATTTAAAATTATATTTATTGAGTTTAAACGTGAATGTCTATGAAAGATTGTATTACTGTACTGTGATAAAAGAGAATCACAATGCTGAAAAAGCATTTTCAGAAACAACGTTTGGATTTGAAATCAAAATAATGGATAAATGTTGTGTTTGTGTTAAACAGCCGCGGATCAGGAGCGGACAGCAAATGCGTCCTGTGCGAAAGCAAAATGAGTCCGTGCTGCTTCTGCACCGCATACACATACTGTATACGCACTGCAGACGGAGTACGTGTGAACTTGGCGCAAAATCTAAAATCTAGTACAACATCTGAGGCAACACCACAAAGAGCTCTATGACCAATGCATGGCAAAAAAATCCCTGGACACGGGATTTTTTATTTATTTTTTTTCCCTTTCATAGAGACATTTTTTTACACCTTTACTTAGTGATTATTTTGCCTTATGTCACATGTTATAGCTTTTTGATAAAGCTCTAATTGGTTTTCTTTTGGAAATATGTTTCAAATTCACACTGAATGCATTTATGACTGTAAAGCATGTCTGTGTGTGTCAAAATCGTGATTAAAATCGAAATCGCAAAATTGATCAAAGAAATCGCGATAGGTTTTTTTTTTTGTTCATATCGCACAGCCCTAGCCATAATGTGAGGAAAATTTGAGCTTATTGTATTATCTGTGCATATCTACAACCAAGTCAACTATTTTGTAACTCTGCACACATGAGATTTCATGCCTAAGTGAAAAAAGACTTCTCTTTAGATTCAGGGAACTGTTTTTGCTTGTGTGTGTGTGTTTGCGTTAAATGCATACAGTACATTTCCTTCTCTGGCTCTGTGAAAGTCACCTGCTAGTTCCACCTGTCGGAACAACTCACGCACACGCACTATGTCTGTGTAAGTAACTGGACACAACTTTGTAACCAGTACTCTCTCTCTGTGCATTTAAAACCACACACAAACAGTCTCTTTAAAGTAATCCAAGACCACCATGCCATTGAAGTGGGGTTTTCCCCACCCAGGTTTGTGAAGCAGCACGAGGCTCAAGCCATCACCATATATGAACGTGCCACTGCACCTTGGAGATCTGTTTCTCTTTAATGTCTGCAGACCCTCTGTTTAGTTTATTATGCTTCAGATCTCTTATTTAAGCATCTCTTAATACCTCAAAACCATGTGGACTGTTAAACTGACAGGAACAAAAAAATCAGTCTGGACACAAATGATAATAACCGCACGTGATTGAATCACCTGAGCCAAAATGACTGTCACTGTGAGTGTGTCTAACTTAAGCAATGGTATGGATGCCTTTTGTCTAGATGTTCATCTGCATGTCCTCTACTGTAGCAGTGTTGTTGTGTCTTGTATTCTGACCTTTTGGATGTTCATGTTTAAATGCAACTGGATAGTCATAGATTCATATGATGAGTTGGATTCCTTGGATGTTGTGATTCTGTATCTTTCCGTGAGGGTTGTGACCTGTAATACTGAATCACAGCGGTTTAGAATTGCAGCCTTGTGCGTCATTTGCAGAAGTCATTTGCTTTATTTATGTTAAAGACTTCATGATATCTAAATTGCAGGACTGCATTGAGAACTGACACTGCTTCTTGCAGCCTGTAGAGCATACAAATTGTTTACAATTAGTATGTGAGTAGGCATTATGCAGCAGTGTATGATTAAAACAGTTGTATGATACATTGACCTCCATTGCACTGCATGTTAAATTTAGTGATTTATGTCCAGTTATCATCTTATAATTAAAAATGTAGAATGACTTAGCATTAGGCCTGGGCGATAAAACAATATCGATATTTATCGACCTTCTTCGATAACGATATAAAACGTGTTCGATATAGTGCACGATATAGGCATGTGCTATGAGTGACGCAGACAGCACACACGAACATGAGTGCTGTGCCTGCCTGTGATGAGGAGCTTGTGAGTAAAGAATGAATATTAGTTGAATTTAAAATAATAGTACAATCCAATGTTAGATGTGCGTCAGGGAGCGTCATCAGTGGAGCACGAGATGCGGTGATGATGATTGTAGCGTCTGGACCAATCCAACACACTATATATTCTCTTTTTATATGACAAATACTCTGTAACCTCAGTTAACAAGCCATATGAGGACCCATGGACCCTTCCCCCCGGAATGCGTAACACCCCAGGAAGTCGAACAGGCTTCTTTGTTGCATGGCAACCAACGCTGATATCACTGGGTTTATTGGCCAAAAGTATGTAAAGCAGGGAAAATCCCTGCTTGTCCCAAGGAAAAGCAGAGTAGAAATGACTGTGTTCTAGTTAATTCATAGAAAAACCGTTATTTGAATGAACACACATATTTCTTCAGGCCATTGAGTATATTATTGTCATTGTGTATTTTGTCTTTGATATTCTTAGACTATTTTAGTATGCTTGTGAGAGGACCCATTCCTGATCCTCCCTTTTCACTATATGTAATCTTACCTTGTTTAGTATCTATGAATTTGCCTTCTTATGATCGAAACAAGCGTGCATATTATATGGTGGTACATAGGCAATATATATCAGGGCCCTGAGAATCGTTAATAATTTCGATTTAAGTCCATTTGCAAATTACCATGCTTAGAGAACAAAGGGTCGTAAACCCTCCAGCAATTGCCACCTCCCGCTCGGAAATTCCATTTTGCTCATTGGACAAGCCCATCTTGAAAGGCGGAGATCTTCTCCGACCTTAAAGGCCCGGCTCCAGGGACCCGCCCCAGTCGGTGATTCAGTCAGAAGCAAAGATGATGTGAGAAAAACGCTTCAGGATACAAAGCATCTGTGCCAGGCCTTTCTTCGGCCTAGTCCTTTCCATTCATCAAGTAACACTGACTCAAACTGGTTCTTCTCATCGACCCGAATTCAGCAAAGATCTACGGGAAGCTTTAAGATTTGCATCAGGAATCTCTTTCAGACCGCCGAGACTCGCTAAGTATCAAACTTAGTCTTTAGAGAAATATAGAAGCTCAATGCGGGGAAGATCTTGATTAGGTTCAAACCGAAACCAAGCCATTCACACAACGCATATTCAGCGTGTTTTCTAGACAAATACGACTGCTGCACTCGCGTCTCACACAAGAGATGTAGACAGCCATGCAAAGTTAAAACAGCTTAAACTTTTAGAAAAACGTCGCACATTTTTGTGGAGGTTTTTCCTTTTCACTGCGTTTTTAAAGGCAATCTGTGTGATGGGCGATTCGGCTGTTTGTATTAAGCAATGCATAAATACGTGATGCTGTTTTGTTCATAATTGTTTATGCAATTTACGAAATTATATTTTATATATATATATGAGTTCATTTAGACGTAATGCACGTTTTTTTATAGACAGTTACTTCCTTGCATTGACAATTTAATGTGCTGCATTATTTTGCTCATTGTGCCCTCCTGTGGCCTCGGGAGACAAGCCAAAAGTTTAACCTATTTAATCTGCATGTAAAACATTAGAAATTAGATATTTGTTTTATTTATTTATTTATTTATTACTGTTAAAACAAAAAAAAAATGTTGTTTGTCTCAATAAATTGAGTTAATTAAAAAATACAATTAATTTTTATTTATTTTAATAATACAAAAAAATTTTTTATATTGCACTGTTTTAAAAAAAAGGTTATAAAAAATGTTCGATACCGAACGATATGAAACATTATATTGTTGATAAATTTTTTTAGCTATATTGCCCAGCCCTACTTAGCATCTTAATTCAAGTTTGTATAAATCGTCATCTCTTTTTCTGCTGTGTTTATCATTGAAAATGGATTGTCAAGTAGAGCACATTGCATTGTGGGATAAAGTACCCTTCGCAGTGTGATCTTTTGCATACTGCACATTTGGGCTAATTTGTATCATGACAAGTGATTTTCATGTTCTGAGTAGTTTAAAACTACAATGTCTGGTTTCTTAAATTTTCACTCGCCTTTAAAGGGTTAGTTCTCCCAAAAATTAAAGTTAGTCCATACTTTACTCACCCTCAAGGCATCCTAGGTGTATATGACTTTCTTCTTTCAGACGAAAACATAAATTTTCCACACTCTTCCAAGCTTTATATTGGCATTGGCAGGTGTTTTTGTTCAGCAGTCTTCCCCATGATTGTGTAGCCTACTGACACAGACTGAGAGACCATTTAAAGGCTCAGGAAACCTTTGTAGGTGTTTTGAGGTAATTAGCTGATTAGGGTGTGACACCATGACTTTCCAATATTGAACTTTTTCACAATATTCAAATTTTCTGAGACACTGAATTTTGGGTTTTCATTATCTGTAAGCCATAATCATCAAAACTTCAAAAAAATAAAGGCTTGAAATATTTCACTCTGTGTAATGAATCAATATAATATATGGGTTTCACTTTCTGAAATGAGTGACAAAAAATATTGACCTTTTTCATGATATTCAAATTTTTTAGATGTACCTGTATATGGAAGTACACCCTGAACCTTCTACTTAAGTGCTATTGTGAACACACCCATCACAAAGTGAAGTTTCAGCAGGGCCTTTTTGAGCTTTTTCTCATATGTGTGTGTTTGTTTGTGCACAGACGTCTCTGCTCAGGAGCAGCCGGAGTTGTTCCTGAAGAAACTTCAGCAGTGTTGTGCTGTGTTTGATTTCATGGACACTCTGTCAGACCTGAAGATGAAAGAATACAAGCGCTCAACCCTCAACGAGCTCGTTGATTATGTCACAGTCAGCCGAGGATACCTCACAGAACAGGCCTACCCAGAGGTCGTCAAAATGGTGAGTGAAGACACGTATAGAGTCAACTAAATATGGGCAGCACGATTCATACATTTTCTAAATGGTATAATGTGAATTTATTTTTCAATAATCAGTGTAGCCTTTCAGAGTCAGACTTCGTACTAGCAACAGTAATATTGTGGAATATTATAATTTATTACAATTAAAAAAACGTTTGAATGTATTTTAAAAATTCAATTTTATGATGGCAAAGCTGAATTTTCAGCAGCCTGTACTCCAGTCTTCAGTGTCACAGGATCCTTCAGAAATCATTCTAATATGCTGATTTGCTGATCAAGAAGCATTTCTTATCAATTTTCTTTTTCTTCCTTCCTTCCTTCCTTCCTTGGTGAAAATTTTAAGGATTTTCCATGAACGAAGTTCAAAAGATTGTATTTATTTAATACAGAAATCTTCTGTAACATAAATAGTGATCGACAGATATAGATTTTTTTATAACCAATACCGATACCAATTATTTGCACGTTTATGTGCCCGATAACCGATATGCAGAACCGATATTTATTTACTGAAGTAAAGTAAATAAATGACTAAGTGAAGTAAGAACATACTTCACTTTGGTTTTTCCTCTTTTCAGTCATCTTTTTTTTTTTTTTTTTAAGTGTTGAAAATTAGCAGTCATCCATGTTAAAATTAATCTTCATACTACAACAATAAAAAAAACATTTTATTTATAAAAAGCATCAACAGCAACAACACTAATATTAACAATAAGAAAAATAAATGTCTAATGTTTTCAAATGGAGAAAATAAATAAAGGACAGGAGTCATATCAACTTCATTTTCATTTTAAACTACAGTTTTAGTAGGTTTATAAGCGGTTTAATAGCTACAGAGTCAAGAATAATTTACTGGATAATGTTAATTCACTGAATAATATTCTCTGGAATATTGGAATATAACAAACAAAACATCGTATTTTATTGCATTTCTCAACTGGAATGTTATATCAGAATTATTAATAATGTTTTTGTCCTTCTAGAATAGATGTGCTGACGGCGCGGTTTGTCTATGCAGTTACACAGAACTATATTCAAACTGCGATCGCTCGCGGAGATAAATAATTAATTTCCATAGAGTTGTATTTATTTAGATGTTTATTAGCGAAATATTGATTATATAGTAAATGTTAATACAATTTAGGGTATTTTAAGCAAGTGAATCTTGTTAAAAGTTACATGCGGTGGCCGTGCCGGGGCATTTCCTGCGCATCAACCACATCAACCCGGTGAGTGAACAGCAATATGTAAGCGGCTTCACGAGACTAATGATGAGCAGATATACAACAGAGAGAGAATTAAATTCAGCGCTTTTATTTCCAACATGCGCTCATTCATGGCTGCATATTTAATTCAGGCAAAGTTACGTCTTTATTGGGACAGGACTTGATGGATTATTTTACATGACTCTGAGTTGGTCTCTATTTCTTAGAGCCAAGCTGCATAAACTACATATCAGGCATTTATGTAATGCATCTAATTTGTGCATAAATGGCTGTTATGTTAAATAAAGTTTACTAACTACAGCAAATCAAGTGCATGCACCATGCCGTTGTTGTCTCGTCTCCCCTCGATGCGCTGCAATGGCGATCCTGCATGCAATTCTCAAAACACCCACAAGATGGCGGCGTTTATCGGTGAATCCGATGTTGCAAAACCGATATCCGATTATGGTAAACTGCTTAAATATCGGGAAAAATATCCATAAATCGATATATTGGTTGATCTCTAATTATAAATGTCTTTAATGTCACTTTTGATAAATTTAATGCATTCCTCCTAAATAAAAGTATTAATGTCTTTCAAAAAAAAAAACTCAAACGTTGAACATTAATGTAAATCTGAAATCTACGGTGGCCGAGAAGTGCTAAACAAATCACAATTCTGAAAACAAAATAACAAATTACAAACGTAAATGCAAGTCTAAAAAACTAAATAACAATTCAGAAAGCACAACAAAAATTCAGAAAACATTATAACAAGTCAGAAAACACAACGACAAATCAGACAAACCGGAAGAGGTAGGTATAGTTTGAGACAGCGCCATTGGTTTGGGATTACTCACCGCTGACTAGACAAGACATCTGTCAATCAACGTATACAGGGAAGAACCAGCCGAAGAACAGCAGAGTCGTGGTAGAAAGTTCAGAGATGGTATTAAAGTAGCTCAGTTTAAATGTATTGTATGAATTGCCTTTACTATGGAATAAAAAATACAGGGTGTCTATATTACATCTAGTTAAAAGTGGCTGTAAATCATCAGCTCCAGTGGCGCAGATAGATAAGCGCGTGCCCTTGGCTTTTTGACGCGATCGACCCGGGTTCGATCCCGCCTTTTCCCAAACTTTTTTTTCCTCCCTTTTCAAATCTCGTATTAGCAATGGATTCTATTTACACTAAGTGAAAATAGCAGTATTTTTAGCAATATGCTATTTACACTATAAATGCCTTTACGATGTGATACGAGATTTGAAAAGGGAGGGAAAAAAAGTTTGGCAAAAGGTGGGATCGAACTCGGGTCGATCGCGTCAAAAGGCCAAGGCCACGCGCTTATCCATCTGCGCCACTGGAGCTGATGATTTACAGCCACTTTTAACTAAATGTAAATAGACACCCCGTATTTTTTATTCCAGAGTAACGGCAATTCATACAATACATTTAAACTGAGCTACTTTAATACCATCTCCGAACTTTCTACCACGACTCTGCTGTTCTTCGGCTGGTTCTTCCCTGTATACGTTGATTGACAGATGTCTCGTCCAGTCAGCGGTGAGTAAACCCAAACTAATGGCGCTGCCTCAAACTATACCTACCTCTTCCGGTTTGTCTGATTTGTCATTGTGTTTTCTGACTTGTTAATTTGTTTTTGGATTTGTCGTTGTGTTTTCTGACTTGTTATAATGTTTTCTGAATTGTTGTTGTGCTTTCTGAATTGTTATTTTGTTTTGTAGACTTGCATTTGCATTTGTAATTTGTTATTTTGTTTTCAGAATTGTGATTTGTTAAGCACTTCTCAGCCACCGTAGAAATCAATGATAGCACAGAAATAGACTGGCATGCAGCAGAATTAATTTATAGTTCATTCAGATGATTTTCTAGTGTCTGAAAATGGTTTTAAAGACTCGTTCTTTTGTCAGAAGTTTTCATCCGTTCAAAAGCAGTAAATTAGGATTACTTTAAAGACAGTAAGTGCCTTGAAACACTGAATAGCTTTTTAAATTATGGTTGACTGATATGGTAGTATTTAATGATCAAGATGGCTAATATAATAAATTGCTGATATACCCAATGCAATTTAATAATTGCTAAAGAGACATACCAATACACAAAAGTGCTAAAATTAAATGAACATGCATTTAATGCAAAAATAAATCGAAAATAATGTTCACCTAAAACAGCTTACAAATACACACGCTCCAGCCAGGTTGAGTGATACATTACAAACCTGTGCACCCTGATTCCCAGAAGTTGCATAAAGTCAATCTGATTAGAGCTTGACATTTCAAGAAAGCTTGTCTTCAGACAGTCACTGAATGGTCTGTAATATTTGATTCAGCAGTTCTTATGGTTATATTACATCTTTTTTTTTTTTTTTTTTCAGGTGTCCTATAATATATTCCGAACTCTTCCGCCTAGTGAAAGTAATGAGTTTGACCCAGAGGAGGATGAACCCACTCTAGAGGCCTCGTGGCCACATTTACAGGTGAGTGTGTGTGTGTGTGTGTGTGTGTGTGTATGCAGTAGAGGTTCTTGAGAATATTGCTGTGTACTCTGGTCCCTCTTTCCTTGTGTAGAGCTCCTGTCTGTTTTATTTGTTTCAGCATGTTTCTCTGTGTGTATTTTTGAAGGGGTTTGTACACACACTCTGACCCTCTCTGTGTGTGTGTGTGTGTACTCACTGTATGCTTCCAGGACTCCTTTAGAAATGAGATGCATATCTCAAGGAGAATCTTCCTGGTAAAACTTCTCTTTTGTTTCGTTATTAATCCCTGCTTTCGTCTACTTCATCTAAAAAGAGTCCAATAATGAAAGCCACATTCCCAGACATGTGATCCTTGTCTTTTTTTTCCCCGACCTGTTATAATTGAATGACCCCTGATGGCAGTAGCAGTGTGTCCTGTGACTGTGACCTCAACTGAACCACGACCTTTGACCTTTCTCTGCATGCATGCTGAGTTCAAAGAACTCCTCGAAATAATAGCTCTTATTCTTTTCTCTTCTCAGCTGGTATATGAGTTCTTCATTCGTTTTTTGGAGAGCCAGGAGTTTCAACCCAGCATTGCCAAAAAGTACATAGACCAGAAATTTGTCTTACAGGTGAGGATGTTCTTTCAAAAATCCCCTCAATCCCTTCGTTTTTCACTAGTGTTTGTTTGCTCATCATCTTTTTTCTCCTTCTTTTTTGTGTGCTGTGCCCATCTGTTGTCCTGTCAGCTGCTGGAGTTGTTTGACAGCGAGGACCCGCGGGAGAGAGATTACCTGAAGACAGTCTTACACAGAATCTACGGAAAATTCCTGGGACTAAGAGCTTTTATACGAAAACAAATTAATAATATTTTTCTACGGTGAGGGATATGACAGTTTACATAATATTTGCAAATGCACGAATAAAGCGCAAGCATTCATCTCTGTCTCTCTTGTTCTTAGTTTTGTTTATGAAACTGAGCACTTCAATGGAGTCGCAGAATTGTTGGAGATTTTGGGAAGGTGAGTTGTATTTGTTTAAAGTCACAATGTAATTTTCTTAACTGCTAAGCTTGTATAGATGACCATTTATGTGTGTGAAATATATATATATATATATATATATATATATATATATATATATACAGTGGGTACGGAAAGTATTCAGACCCCCTTAAATTT